TCCATTAACTTCTAAACGTGCAAAGGTATCTGCTTTAGATGTTATTCCTTCAGCACTTGCATCTGCACTTGATCGTACAAAAGTAAGTGATAGAAAAACAGCATATATCTTAACAGCAGCCATCCAAACGTATGGTGACGGTGATATATCAAAACTACCAGTATCTCGTAGTAGAATTAGAAGAAGCCAAATGAAGCATCATTTTTAAGGACCTTTGGTTATTCGTATTGATGGAAAACTTTTGCCAGGAATTTCAGGTCGGGCTAAAAAAGTTGATTGTCAGGCAATTCTAGTTTCAGGATTAGGAACAGAAAAACTTTAGGCAATTCCTAAAGTGGCACAAGGGACTGGTGAGCTTATAGCAAATGCAAGAATGGTTGTCATTTCTCATCGGAAATTGAAAAATCAAATAATTGCAATCTCTTTTTATAATACGACGTCAAACACAGGTCAATTAAATGGTGCGTGCACAATTTTAGAAAGAAAACTTGAAAAAAATCTGCTCTGGTTGGCATGTTGCCATCATGTACATGAAATTCTGTGTGGTGATGTCTTCAAGGCAGTTTTCGGTCCATCCTCTGGTCCAAATGTGTTGTTGTTTTGTCGATTTCAGGAATATTGTTGAAACATAGACCAAGCTTGCATCGATCATTGTTTAAATGAAGAATTTAAAGAATTGAAGAGAGAAGTAGTTGATTTTATTTTAGAAATGTTAAATGAAAAGGCAGGAAATTTACCCCGAAAAGATTATTGTGAACTTTTTTTTTTTATTTTATTGGACCATCTTCATGTTTCTTTTTTGATGCCTTACAGTTTTTTTTTTTTTTTTTTTTATTTGCATTCACTCCCAACGAGGTTGCAAGCAACCACTATTAAGTTGGGAGTTACTAGGAAAAAAAAGAACAGAGTTATAGAGCAAGGAAACGGTTGACAGAAGACTTGAAAAGTTGAAGGTTGTATGAGTCAGGAAAACATGAAGATGGGAGAGAGTTCTAAAGGATTGAAGTGCGGGGAAAAAAACTAGATGAATAAAAGTTTTTAGAGCATGCAGGGACAGATACAGTAAACGAATGAGACTTAGCTGAATGACGAGTAAAATGAGAATGAATTTTATTTGATGGAACTAGAGATGATAACTCCTTTGAGCAGTGACCATGATAGTATTTGTAGAAAAGAGAAAGAGATGCAACTTTACGACGATGGGAAAGAGGCACAAGCTTAGCAGATAGTCCAGGTCCAACAACATTTACAATGCGTTTTTGGACCTTGTCAAGAAGAGAAAGTGAATCATTAGAAGAACCAGCCCAAATATGAGAACAGTATTCCATGCAGGGACGAATAAGAGATTTGTAGATGTAGAGAATGGAATCAGAAGTAAGGAAATGGCGAGCATGATAAAGAGAAGCAACCTTAGCAGAAGCTAATTTAGCAATCGATTGTATAAATGGTTTCCATGAAAGGTCAGTAGTAAGCGATAATCCAAGAAGATGCAAAGAGGAGGACTCAGTAAGAGGATTGCCATTCATTAATATAGGAATGTTGACCATATTACGGTAGTTGTTTGCAGTAAGCAACTGGGTTTTTTTAGAGTTGAAATTCACAAGCCACTGTGAACCCCAATCTATTACTGAAGTGAGATCGGATTCAAGATCAGCTGCTTGTTCTAGGCGATCGAAAAGAGAAGACTTTTTGTCAAGACAGGAGTATAAAGTTGAGTCATCAGCAAAAAGAGCTACTTTAGATGAAAGGTTGTCAATAAGATCGTTTATGTAGATAAGAAACAAAACAGGGCCCAGGATGGAACCTTGGGGAACCCCAGAAGTTACTGGAAATAAAGAAGAGTGTTGGCCTTCAATGATGACTTTAATAAACCGGTTAGAAAGAAATGATTTGATAATCTCAAAAACTTTCCCAGAAACACCATATGAAGCAAGCTTATGGAGAAGACCAGCATGCCAAGTTAGACATGCCCTTTCTGAAGGAGGTTGTTGAGAAGTGGTCAGATATTCCAAATTATCAGGCCGCTATGAAAACAGTTAAGACACTAAAAGTTGTCAATGATAGTGCAGGTGGAGGAATTGCTCTAGCCACTGCATTTAATTCTACAATAACAAAACAAGAAGAACAAAAACAATATTTGTTTTAAATGGGGGAAAGTAACTGGCAAAGATTTCTCAATTCAAAGAAATCAATGTTACTTTCAGATGTTGGTTGTAACTGAACAGTTAACTGAAACAAACAGAAAACTGAACAGTTTTAATGGAAAAGTATTAAAATAAAAGTTCCTTTTAATTTACTGTAAAGATATAAAATTTGTTGCATATTCTTTATGTTAATTAATTAAAAATTTTTTTTAATTTTTTGGAATATTCTTAAAAATTACTAAAAATGCTGAAATTTTGAGGTCGATGAGGCATTTCTAAATATTGTCTTATGTTCTTCAAATTTTTTATGGTGTATTTATGAAGCAAAAGTAACATAAAAATGCAAGTGCCTCTAAGATTTGAAATCATTTTGATTTCTGAATTACCCTAATTTTAATTTAAATTATCTTATTTCAATAATATTTAATTATTATTATGCCATAATGTGAGTTTGGTTAATTAGCAAGATGAAGTAGCTAATTATTAATAATAATATTATAGTGAGATCTTAGTTGGTTTTATTAGTTGTTATTGCAACCAATTTTATTAATTGTTGTCAAAAATATATTTTATTAGATGTTTCTAATAATAATACTCAGAATATACATCACTGTCATTTTTATTATTTTCAAAGTAATGACCAAGTCCAGCTTTAGCTCTTAGTAGTAAAATCATGGACAACCTGTATGATATCAGCCATGTTAATTCTAACAAACTGATAAAAAATAAAAAAGATCATCATTTTCTCAAGCAAGAAACTGATTGTCTTCTTGACTATCAGTTCCTGCTTAAGAAACTGCAGCAACTTTTGTAGCAAATATTGCAGCAGTATAGCACTATTTGTCAAAAAATGGGTGCATTAAGAGTCAGTTAGCAACAAAAAATTTTGTTGTAAAAAACAAACAGTTATTACTCAAGCAAACATCAGCTTTAATGGAACAACAGTTGTACATGCAACTGGCTCTGAAGAATGTGAAGACAATAACAACAATCTAATCAAGTGTTAGAGGTTGACAAAAAATGGCCCACATCGTTTCATTGTTTAATGGTAACCCCTTTGTGTCAATTTGAGGTTGGCAATTTATTGCCAACCTTTTTTTTCTGATTCCGACCTTTTTCTTCTGATTCCGAGGGTTGAAAATTGTCAGCAGTATTAGACTGAACAAATACAAGCGTTGGCAAATCAAGGATGGTTTTTGTGTCTCTGGTGAATAAAATAGGCTGTTCATCATAGTCAGCAATACTTTCAAAAAGCACCATTAAATGTCAATGATAGCTATTTAGTAGAGAAACTGTCAAAATGAACAAAAATGGCTTTTAAACCAGCAAATTAGTTGTACACTTGGAATGTAAATTGCTGCCTGATCACTGGGGAAAACAATAATCAAGTGGATAGATAGATGGTAGATAGATGGTAGATAGAGGATAGATTGATGGTAGATTGATGGTAGATTGATGATAGATAGATGATAGATTGATGGTAGATAGATGGTAGATAGATGGTAGATAGATGGTAGATAGATGGTAGATTGATGGAAGTATTTCTGAGTGTGTCAAAGTTGTCTCCAGGGTTAGAAAAGGTAGTAGTTGGTAGCAAAAGGTGCAGTTGAGGCAGTTCTGAAACATTTGAAGTCATGGGTGTGCGATTGTGCTTTGTCACTATTTATCTCCACGATCAAAGATGATCAAGAATTGCATTTCGTCAAACTCTTCTTTGTACTATTGTGGAATTATTAATTTCTAGAAGTTTCTTAAACACCACTGCTATTGATGGCATTTTTCATGATATTCCTGTTGAAGAGTCGCCTGAAAGCCAGTTACATCAGGTTGCATTTGAATTGGTCAAAAACATGGCTTGTGTCAATGACTGCGCCAAAGGTGGTGCTGCCCTAATGCAGAATTTCAATGCCGAAACAACAAAGGACAAACAACAAAAGTCAAATCTTCTGCAAGTTTTTGAAAAGCGCATATGTGACTTTTTAAATTGCAGTTGTGATAATTTTCTAGACATGATATAAATTGCTAAAATAAGTCAAGTTTTGTGTAAAATGTAAAGTGCAGACAAACTGTACTTAACTGCTAAATACTAAATTTTGTAGATGATTGCTTGATAACTACATTGTAATAGTTGAAAGTTGGTGTTTCACATTTTAAATGTTTTTTTATTTGATTTTTTCCTTGTTTGTTCATGAAAACCCATTTATCAACATATTAACACAATGCACAAAAAGTGTTATTTTTCTAAAATCTTGATTCTTTCAAGTCAGAGCTTTCTAATATTGACATACAAATTATGGGATCAAATACTTGTCTATAAAAATTGTTCAGATTAGGAGATTTAAATTGCAGTTTGCGCTAATTTTAGACATCTTCACTACCCTTGGAGTCCCCTAAATATCATTTAAGTGATCTTAAAATTTTCAGATATTATAAGGGAACCTTAAAAATTTAAAATGGAATAAAAAATTTAAAAGGGAACCTTAAAAATTTAAAACCAAAAAAATTTTAATGAATTTTTTTTCTTGATTGTTATTAGGGGACCCTAATATATATATATATATATATATATATATATATATATATATATATATATATATATATATATATATATATATATATATATATATATATATATATATATATATATATATATATATATAATATATATATATATATATATATATATATAATATATATATAATATATATATATAATATATATATATATATATATATATATATATATATATATATATATATATATATATATATATATATATATATATATATATATATATATAAGCATATTATTGTTATTGTTATTATTGTTTGTATATATGTAAAATTATTTTTACAGCATTCTGTCTTGCAAGTTTGAAACACTGTTTTGTATATATGGATCTTAAAGACAATAAAAAAATAAGTTCAAAGAAAATAGCAGACAATTCTGAGTTAAATATACCTTGTCGTAACCTAGGCGAAAGTGATTTTGAAGGATGGCTTATGAAAAAAGGTTTATTATTATATTTTTTTAATTTCTAGTTATTTTAACATTCTTTTTTCTTTTTTTATATTTAATTGTTTACATTTCAATCATTGTGATTTATAGCTGGTGGTCATGGCTTAAAACCGATTAGCTGGAAAAAATATTGGTGTGTTATAAAGTCAGGGAATATTTATTGCTACAAGACATCATTTGAAAGTAGTGCTGATTATATCTTAGCAATCAAAAAATTTTCTATTGAAGATGCTGATGAAAAAAAGAAAATGTCAGTGAGCTACAATTTTAGAGATTTGAAATAGGGTGTTACAAAAAATAATTTTTTTTCAAAATGTTTGCTGCTTTTTAAATGTTTTTTATTAAACAAAACAACTCAAGGTTTTATAATAAATATTATTCTTAGTAATCTTCCGATCCTTTTGATTATTTGACAGTCCCTAATAAAATTAGAAAAAAAAAAATATAGTAAAATATAGCAAAAATAATAGCTAGGTTTTCTTATATTTTATTTTATTAAGGTTACATAAACCTTAATACCTTTTTTATTTTTGCACTCTTAAATTTAACTTTATTTTTTAAAAATGAAAATAGTAAAATAAGGTTTTATAATAGCTAGGTTCTTCTTTTATTTTAATTTATTTTATTAAGGTTACTTAACCTTAAAACATTCTTCACCTTTGCACTCTTAAATTTAACTTTTTTGAAAATGAGAGTTGTAGAGTTTGTTACATAAAAATCATTACCAATTCAATTTGTTTAATGAAAGATTTTTTTGTATCGTTTTTTGGTAAAAGATTTTTTTAATTTTTATTTAATTATGATTTTATCGTAGTAACTGATCAAGACCTGGGCTTGCTTTTTTATCAAACATGACCCTGGTTAAATGGTCAAATAGGTTGGGGTTACAGTACTAAAATGTTTTTGACATGAACTACTTTAATAGTGAATACAGAAGATATTTTTTCAAAACATTTACAAACAACAGGATCTTTTTTTTTACAAGTATTTTTACCTTCACAAAGCCACTTAAATTTATAAAAATGATGATCATTCTAACGTTTCCAACTACAGGCCTACAGAAAATATTTGAACGTGTAATTTACAATCTTTGATCATTTTACTAAAAGCAATTTCTTTTATATAAAACAATTTGGATTTCAGTAAATTCATTCAACTGAAAATGCTTGTATTGAATTAGTTGATCAAATAAATAATGGCTTTAACGAAAACAAATTTACTTTAGGTATATTTGTTGGTCTCTCAAAAGCTTTTGACACTGTTGATCATTGAATATTGTTAGGAAAGTTGAAGCATTATGGATTAGTTAATAATGTCTACTATTGGATTAAAAGTTACCTCACGGATAGAAAACAATGTTCTAAATCAAGAATACGGAATACTTAAAATCCTGTTTGGAGTACCGCAAGGATCAATATTTGGTCCTCTCTTATTCTTAGTTTATGCAAATGACTTAAATAATGCATTAGTAAAGTTAAACCCAATTATGTTTGCCGATAATACAAACCTATTTTTTTCCAACAATAGTATCAAACAACTTTTTGCAGAAATAAATCTTGAATTAAATAAGATAAATGACTGGTTTATGAATAAACTCTCATTAAACGTTGAAAAACAAAGTATACCTTATTTCATAAAAAAATGCAATAAGAAAATCTTCCCCTTAAATTACCAGACCTATTTTTAAATAACATACAAATAAAAAAGCAAGACTGTATAAAGTTTTTAGGAATACTTGTTGATATTAATTTATCTTGGCTTCCCCATATTAAATATTTACAATCAAAAGTAAGTAAAACCATTGCTCTGATGTATTGAGTTCGTCCATATGTAAATACAGTTTGTCTAAAGTTAATATACTTTTCTTTAATTTATTGTTTCATTAACTATGCTAATATTACATGGGTTAGTACACAACCAAAACTTAGAAAATACATAGTTTGCAAGAACATGCGTGTAGAATTATTTACTGGAAAAAAAGAGAAGAGCAGGCTAAACCCTTAATGAGAAATATGAAAATGATGAATGTATACAATATAAATTTTTATCGCTACCTAATTTTTATGTATAAATGTATTAATAACCTAATTCCAGTTAATATTATTTGTAAGTTTGAGAAAAATTTAAATGAAAAGTATTTTTTAAGAACAAATCAATCAAATTTCTTTAAACTGCCAAGGAAGTTAAATAAATATGCAGAATATTCCATAGCATATCGAGGACCTAAGTTATGGAATTCTTTTCAAAAAACTAATGCAAATATGATAAAATCATTAAACTCATTTAAGTTTCAAGCAAAAAAACACATTTTTAATTTTGCGGAATAATAATTCCAAAACAATTATGTAAATTTATTCAAATGAATTTTACTAATTATTCTTAGTAGTTACTATGATATACGTTTTTTTTAATGTATTAATTTTCAAATCTTTTTGTGTATGTCTGTTTTTATTTCTGTGAATAGCTAAAATTGCAATTGTTGCAAAATATCTTTGTAATTGTTAAAATAAGTTTTTCTTGTTATATCTTTAGTTTATTTTATATATTTTTTATTTTGTTACTTTTATATCTTGGATTTTTATAACTCTTTTTAAATATTTTATAATTTGAAATGTCAATATTTTATTATATTAGGGGCTCTATAAAAAAATTGAGATGATATTGCATCATCCATAAATTCTTATAGTCCTTGTCTGTTTTTAAAATATTTTATTTATTGATATTAACCATGTAAAACTCATCTGTAATTTATTTTAACAGCAAAATATAAAATTAAATAAAAAAATTAAATAAAAAAAATAAAAGATCAAGAGACTTTTATTTTCATAATTTCAAATTTAATAAGTGTAAAAACATGCAGTTATTTGGTATATGCTACTCCAACATAATATGATTCATAAATGTAGTTTCCAGCCACCCTATTCCACTAAAAAATATTTTAATTTGACAACATCATTTTGGTGTGAAAAGAGAGAAGTAATGAAAGGAAACATTGAGATGAACTGTGGTAAGTTTTATTATTTAAGAGATATAATTGGATCAATAGATGGAACAGAGGAGGCATCCAGCATGGAAAGGTCAATATGTTTTGTTTATGGCTTGGTTAAGAAACAGATCATCCGGTATCAAGGTTTATTTTGCTAGAGAAAAAAACAGATGCACGAAAGGGTTGTAACAGACAACACAAGGGGCTGGAATTGTTAATAAAAAATAGCCATATGGTAATTGTTTAAGAAGTGTCATAATTGGCAATTGGCTAACTCACGAAACCACGTAACCCACGCAAGTGCAGATAAATTGACATTAACACAATGATAATGACAATGATAATTATGATGATTTTATTTAATTTTAGATAATTTTTGCCCTCTCCCTAGTTATCTAAAAATTTATAATTTTTGTAGGCTCCATTTAAAATCAGTTACTAATCTCTTAGTACCCATTAAATTATCAAGGGGTCAGTTTACCATTTAAAATAACTTTTATTAGAAAATTTGTGAAGCAGCAGACAATAAAAAAAATTTGGTTTATGAGACACTCAAGCATAAAAATTATCATTGAATAATAATAAAAATTGTGTATTTTTTTGTAAATTTTTCTCTTTAGCGCATTTCGAATGAAACCACATGAGGAGAATTCAAAATCTTTAATTTTTGCTGGAGATAGTGAAACAGATGTTAAAAAATGGATCGAAATGATAAACCTAGTCATTTCTGGAGTTGACATTTCACTTAAAAAAAGTAATTTAAAAGGTAAAGAAATTCCAATATTTTTTGAAGTATAAAGATTAATGTAAAGATAAAGTATAATTTTTCGGGTAATTATGTAATGTAATGCTTTAAATATATGATTGAAATTTCCTTAAGTCCCAAAAAGTGACTGATGAAAAAAAAACTCAGCATACTTATTAACTATAACTATTTCCTGAAGGCTATTTACTGAACTATAATGTTTATAAGAAAATCAATGTAAATTTTCTTATGTTTAGAAATGTGGACTGACAGACTGCAAACAACTATCTTAAAATTTTTTAAATTGTTATAACAATAATACCATAATTGTTGAATTGTAAATGTTCTTTTCATCAAAAATCATTCTACAATTTTAATCAATGTTGTGTAAAAATAACACCGGGTTTTAATAAAAAAAATGTTGGTAACAACTATGCAGTGCCAAGCATGTGATTATTTAGCTAATAGACTAATTATTAACACACACTCATTAATAATTGTATATAATGTTTGCTTAATCATTCAGAATGCAAAATATAAGCAAGGAAATGTGCTGTGTTGTTTTTTATGGTTAGATTAAGGCACAAAAAGTTGAAACTGTGCAAATGAAGAAACCACCAATCCTTAATAAAATATGTGAAAAAAAATTAAAGTTAATTAAAAAAATATTTCTTACAAATAAAAAGAAAAATGGCCATTAGCAATAGAAGAAAAGTAACTAAAAATAAAGCTGATAGCTTTATAAATGTGAATATAAATCCATCATAACTGCTGAAGCTTTGAAAATTCATTCAGTTGGTAGCTTGGAAAATGATTGTAATGGTTCTTTAAATAAAATCACCGATGGAGATGTAGTAGTAAAGATGGTGACTTCATGACTATGACTGTTAGTTCAAACATGTTCAAACTTTCAATCTTTACAAAAAAATTTTAATGTTCAGGTTTTTTAGGTTATTTAAGGTCAGGTTCTTTTAGTAAATTACTTCTCCTTTTAATTCAAACTTTTAAATTAAAAAATATATATCTTTTCGTTCTTTTTTTAACTACAGCTGAAACATAAGTAAAAGTTATTATTTTTAATATTATGGCACTTTTTAAATTTAATATTTCTTTTCTTTTTGCTTTGTTTTTGTTTGTGTTTATCTGGCAACTCTAAAAATATAAACAAAATTGCATCACTTGTATTGCCATCACATTTAAGGTAGGGTCAGTTTTTCCCTGTTAAAAAGTAATTAAACAGTGGCTGTTACTTTTTAATTGATTTTTAAAAGGAAAAAACTGACCTTTAATTAAACAGAGGCTTTTACTTTTTTAAAACAAATGGCTTCTTAGCCTTAGCACATCTAGAAGATCTGAGGTTTAGAAGTATTTTCATTTTTCCTCTAGGCTGTGTAAGCAAAATGTACCTCATGAACTATTACAAGACACTTGGAAAAAGAAATAAAAAGTTCACTTTTTTTTTTAATTAGTTATATTTATTTCTAAATAAAAAGATTTTTTCAAAATAAAATGCAGATAATAAAGTCTTTATAAATGAATTAAGTGTTTTGTACTTAACTTGTCACAGTTCAAATTGGCAGCCCTATTTATGACAGACTCCCCTAATTCATCAACTAATAACACAAAATTTTCTTGTATGTTTATTACATATGAATGAGTTACTTTAAAGACATATTCCAACTAACCTGGATGGATATACACATGGATTAAATTTATTTGAATAAATTAAATAAATTTAATTTATTCAAATTCATATTTAATAGACGAATTCTTATTAAAGAATATTAAAGTTAAAGTGACTTGTTAATGGCAATTGTCAGTTTTTAAACATTTTAAATTTTTTGTCCAGCATTGCTATGATCATAGATGCCAAAATATCATAACACAGATTAAGGGTACTAAGATAAAATATCTCAAGCAATTACCAGTGGCCAATTTAGTTTTGAATTGAATAAAAGTAGAAAAAAGCTAAATAAATAAAACTTTTTTGAGCATGAAAGAAGTGTTACATTAAAAAGGATGTGACTTAGCTAAATGACAAGTCACGCAAGTTTGTACTTCGGTTGATTGAACAAATGCTTAGCTTGCTTAAGCAGCGGCTATGGTAGAATTTATAAAAAAGAAAAAAAGATAAAATTTGAAGAGAAGATGTCTTATGATCAAACAGAAGCTTAGACCTTGCCTAAAAGAGAAGGACCACATTAGAAAAATCAGCCCAAATATGACCGCAGTATTCCATACTAGGACAAATTAGAAATTTATAGAAATGTATATATATATATATATATATATATATATATATATATATATATATATATATATATATATATATATATATATATATATATATATACAGAATATTTAAATTAGAACTAAGAATATGACAAGGCTGATAAATAGAGGTAACCTTAGCAGATACAAATTTTTCAATTTGTATCTGCTAAGGTACAAATTGCAAAATTTGTGTCTTAACTGATATGAATTGTATATATAGTTTTCTTGTAAAGTCAGTAGTTATTGATAATCCAGACGTAAAGTAGAGGATTTAATAAAAGTGTTGCTATTCATCAATATAGAAATTTCAACAAATTTGTGATAATTGTTAGCAGTAAGTAATTGAATTTTGCTCAGGTTAAAATTTCCCATGCACTGTAAGGCTCGAGCTGTCACATAAGAAAGATCAAATTCAAGATTGGGTCCCTGTTCTAAGCAATCTAGAAGGAATTACGTTTTGTCATGGTTTAGGTGACTAAGATAAAGGAAAAAGGAGATCATAAATTCAGTAATTCAAATTGCTAGATTATAATTATACATTATTGCTAATTCAGATTAAAGATAAATTTTACTTATTTAAAATTATTAATCTTAGATGTTATACCAGATTATGAAGAACGAAAAAGGCTCTATAGCTCAAAACAACCAATAAAGGAGCGTAAGCAATATCGAGCTTCAGCATACATTGCTGGTAATTTTATTTATTGTTAGATATATATATTTTTTGTTTACTTTTATAATTTTTAAATATTAATCTAAAGTTATTTTTTTCAAGCTGAAAAAGAGACAACTGCATTGACAGGAGGATTTAATACACGTAGGGGAAGCTTTAATCCACAAGTTAAACCTTTGAGCAATACACCTGAAACTGATGATTGAGACAAACATAATAAAACAGAAGTTTTTTGGGCAAGTAAGTTAAATTTATTTTCAATTAAATCCTAAAAGAATTATTCTTTTTTATTTAAATTTATTATTTTTATAAAGTTTTTTATTTGATTTTATTGGGAGTTCAAAAAAACATATCAATGAGACCAAGAAAAGAATGCTTAAAATGCACTATGGGTAATTTTAGAATAATAAAATGAGTTTAAAGATTAAAAACCGTTTTTTAGTTCAGCAATATCATTTTAAAAAAACTTTTTTTATTGACACATTTCATTGTTTACACTTTTTTGAACTACTAACAATATATCTTGTTTTTTCTTTTTAATATAAATAGAATCAACAAACTGTGACACAAGTTTGATTGCACGTTCAGAGCAATTGTTGACTACAAAGTCTGCAAACAAAATAAACAAATTGATTGACAAATCCCAGTTAGATAAAGGACAGTTCAGCCAAGATCATATAATATATCATTGCCCTTATTCAAATTTATCAGAATAAAATAAAACCACTAAATGTAAAACAGACTTGGTTTACATTTAGTGGTTTCTGCGATTTTCCAGAGTTGCAAAAACTAAAGAGTATAAGATAAGTTCTGTTATTCAACTTATTTTTTTTAATAAACCACCTATCAGCTTGTAAGACAACTGTTAAGACCACTAAGAAAACTTTACACTTGGATTTTCAACAATGACTTTCAACTAATATAATAGCCATTAAATGTGCACCAGATCTCAGAGCATGACCATTAAGAATTATATTAGAACATAAATAGATGAGTTTAAATTCAATTAGTTCTTTACAATCAAATATAAATATAGAAAATAATAAAAAATATAGTAAAAACTAAATTGGCAGGCGCATATTTTCTAAATTAAGTTTCTTTAATCTGTTTTTCTAATAACATTTCTTTAACTGTAACTTTCTAAAACTTTGTATACTTCCCAATAAGTCCTCTGTTGCATTCCAATTTGCTTAGAAATAACAATAACAATAGCAAAAAGCAATATATTTACCAGAAATATAGGTATTTTATATAAGCATGCTACAAATTATAAAAAATATACATACAGTCTATATTCTAAATGGTTCACTCTAATATAGCCTGTCTAAATTGATGAGATTGACCATAAGTAAAACAAAAAAATTACTAATGATAACTAATACGCAGACACAAGGTTGCTATTATTCAACATTCATATTTATATCATATCTCATATATCTTCTATGATAAATCTTTTACCACCAATGATACAATTGTTGTTTCTATTTATCTTGATGTAACAAGTAGTATTTTAATTTTTAAAGAGATTGTTTTTTAGTTTATTTTAAGTTGATTCTAGTCCATCAATGCAGAGTATATAAAGGAGTTTTTGCTGTAGGATTTTGTATTATACATTTGCACACTCAGTGCACCTCTACAAGAATTTCTTGTAGAGGTGATTGTATTTTTAAAATTTGTAATGCATTAAAAGATGTGGATGTATGTGAATTTTTTGGTAGAAATTCAATAATCCTAACTGCTTTTTCTGCATGATAAATAGCCGATTCACAAAACTTATGTTTTGACTCCATGATAGGAGGCAATATTTAAGCTGAGAGCAAAATAAAGCATAGTTAACAAATTTTAAAGTTTTTTGTTGTATGAAATGTCATAATCTGTAAACTTTAGATTTAGAAATGTTTAAACTTTAGTTTTTCCGGACCTTAAGTTTTTATAGTGTGAACCTGCTACCAAAAATATTTTTCGTGAAAATATTTTTGGTAGCAGTATTACCATATCTTTGACATACTAACTGCTATATAATAAAATTTGTGTTTGATAGTAACCTATTTTTGCAGCATTGTACATCATTAATAGAATGTCATGAATTTTTAAATTGCCAACAATGTTTAAGAGAGCAACATACTTTCTTTTTCATCATATCTTTCATTTTTTTACTTTAGTAACATCCTGAATAATCTTTCAAACTTATTTAAAACTCCAACAATTATCAGGTTTTTCATTTCAAGTAATTTTTTCAGCACTTTTTAAAAAGTTTTGTTGCTTTTTTATTAATTTATTTTTTCAAAATTTATTATTATTATATTATAAAGTTTTCCCATTTTTAAATGGATAAGTAATTCATCAACTTTTTTGTTAAATTTTTTTTTTTTGAGAAAAATTTAAATGTCATTTTAAAGTTATGACCATTCAAAATTTACAACTCTTTTTTTTGGAGAGGGTTGAAACTTTACATCATTTAAATTTCATTAGACTTTTTTTAGCTTTAAAATGCGGTATTGGTGTAGTGGTAGAGCGCTTACATAAGTGAAAGGTTTTGAGTTTGATCCCCACCATGTCCCTAGTAATACTGCTCTAACTTGTTTCTTTGCGCAGAGGCCTTGTGTGTCAAGGTTCATGTTTCAGAGTTAGAAAGTTGAGAGAGGGTTATAACCACAATTAAGTTGCCTCTTAGTCTGTTGTCTTCTCGACCTTGCGGAGGTGAATTAACATTAAAAAAAAAAAGTAAAAATGTTTTTAAAATTGGTCTTGTAATTTTAGATGATATATTGAATTTTTTTTTAATTAAAATAGATAAAATATTCATTTTTACTTAATTAAAAGTATTGCACAATTAAATTTTTGTGTTCTTTTATAATTTATAATTTTTAAAAATCTGAAATTTTTTTTTTGACAATTAAAATTTTTTTTAATTCAATTTTTGACTGATGAGCTGCTCAATTTTTTATAAATTTTTTTCTTCTCTTTTTTAACCTTCAAGCTCTGAAACATGAACCTTGTCAAACAAGACAGCTGCTTGGTTAAACAGGTTGTCTTTTCAAACAAGACATTTGCATGTAAAAATAGGTTTAGCACAGTACTTCTTGCAATTTATACCTCCTTTTGATTGTTGATTGTTTTATTAATAGAAACAATAGATGTATTCAGGGTTTTTCATGAACTTTTTTTTGTTGCCTGTCCTACACGATCAAAGTGGTAATTTATCAAGACTAGAACATACAGTTACATAATCAGCAAATTAAACTGGTTTATTTGTAAGATTAAAAAATGAAAACAAGATTGGACCGCACTGAATATAGTTCAATATCTTAGAGAAAACCTAGTAGTACCCCTCTAAGGTTACTTAAAATGAATTTTTTTTTTTTAATTTTTTTTTATTTTTTTGTATGTATTTAGGTACTCCCAGAAGTCCTTATGGTCTTATCATAGACCACCGCGGGAGAGCATTTAACAGGAAGTTCACACCTCCTTCCGTACCAATTTCGCTTGTTGGGCTGGAAATGGCGTCGAACCTCGGACCTCTGGGTTCTGAGCCAGAACTCTAACCACTGCGCCACGGCTGCTCATGACTTTTGTCTTTTTCTATTTAACACATGTTCTCAATATACAATAACATGTATTCATGTATAAAACTGTTTTGTCAGCAAAATAGCGATAAAAAAATAAGTTAAGCAAGAAGATTTAAAATCTATTGATTGTCAAAAAAACATTAGATTTATTGTTTTACTTATTGTAGTCTCTGACATTTTTATTGTTAATAATAGATTATAAAGACCAAAATTACTTCTAAACTATAGTTATTAAGATTTTTGTGATACCAGTTTAAAGATTAATGAATAATTTTGTATTTTTGTCTAACAACTCTACAAAAAAAAATTTGATCTTATTAAGATTAAAAAATGTATAGTGTGTAAGTTTACACAATCCATATTGAATGTTAGTTGTTGGACACAAGCGTTTTTTTTCTCTCCCTTATGATTGCAGAGTAACTTAAATTATTTACCAAAAAGCTTCATTACAAAAAAGTTACTCAAATCTCTTATCTCAAATAAATCAACATTAGAGAATTTTTCATCAATAAAGTTCATCCAAATAAAAAGTAACTATAATTTAGAATTAAGTCCAGATACATGAAAAAAATTTTTTTATGATATATTCAGAATAACAAAATTTTACAATATTTTGTAAAAAAGGATTAGTTTTTTTTTCTTAAAGGGTAAAATTATTTTTCTTAAAGGGTAAAATTATTTTAATTAAAGGGTAAAATTGTTTTAAATAAAGGGTAAAATTATTTTAATTACAAAATATTTATAACTTATTTAATTACATATTTGTTTTTAGTTATTGTTTTTCAATGGTAAAAATAAAACCATTGAAAATGTTTTACTTCTTAGGATAAAACATATAATATTTATAAATTTCAGTTTTGATTAATGATTGCTATCTAAAGCCTTTGATATAGTTTGCCATGCTTGTCTCCTCCATAAACTCTCTTCTTATGGTGTATCAGGTAACATCTTTAAGATCAATCGTATTATAAAAGTTGTCCTCAACGGACAACACTTTTCTTTATTTCCTGTAACTTCAGGGTTTCTTCAAAGTTTCTACCATTTATCTTTCTTGGAAACCATATATCAAATCCATTGAAAAATTTTGATATGCTATGGTTGCATCACTTTATCATGCTTACCACTTTCTTTCTCCAGATTCAAATCTTTGTCTCTGTAAATCTCAAATCCAGCTTTGTATGGAATACTTTTGCCATATCTGAAGCAGATCTTCGAGTTTTAGACCTTTCTCTTTTAGACAAAATGCAAAAATGCATTGTAAACTTAGTTGGACCTGCCCTTGCAACCAACCTTCAACCATTGTCACATCGTCATAATGCTGCTTCTCTTTCTCTTTTCTATAAATACTATAATGGGGGCTGCTCTAAAGAGCTAGCTTCTCTTGTGGCATCTACTAAAATTCATTCTCATGTTACTCATCAATCAATTAAGTCTCATCATATGACTGTTCCTAAATGCTCCAAAAATTCTTTTTCGTCTAATTTTTTTTCTCAAACATCAGTTCTTTAGGATTTGCTCCCTTTATCTAGTTTTCCTGATTCATATAGTTTGCAATCTTTTAAGTCGTCTGTTAATTGTTATCTTGCTTTAGAAACTTCATCTTTTTTCTTCCAGTAACTTTTAATAGTGATTGCTTGCAGCCTAATTGAAAATGATGTTTAAAAAAAATATATATTTATTTTCATTTTTATTACTTGTTTATTATTTATTATGTTTATTTTGATTATTATTTTATGTTTGTTATTTTGTTTTACTATTTTATTTTATTACTTATCTTTATTTTGATTCTATATATTTTGAAGTATTCAGTTTTTTTACTTTTACCATGTTGTTATACATTTATTATTAGAATTCTTTAAAAAAAGAAAACGGAAACAGCTCAAAACGTTAGCGAATTTCGATTAACTTAACTTCGAACTAAAACTTCGATTATCTCAGAAATTATTACTGTTGAAATATTTATTAACTCAGAAAATTTGAAATGCAATATTTAAGATTTGTTTGCTGCTGATTATGTATGGCGTTAAATGGCGAAATCTTTCAATGATTTAAAAATATATATGAATTGTTATTAGGAGCATATAAAGTATA